CCAGATGTTATAACAGCGTTTAGTTTATCTTTATATGTTATAGACTGTGCATGTATAAAATAAATTGAAAAATTATTAATAATTACCATTTAAAGAACATTCGTAAAATATAAATGCTTACATTTCCATTATTAATTTTTTTAACTGACTTCAGTTCTTTTTTATTTTTTATTTTCTTCGTCACTATCGGCGAAATTGGTTTTTTTTTATTTTCTGAAGAACTATTGATTTCATTCTATATTTAAAATACTTTAGATTATTTTTTTAAATTATTACAAATATAATATAATTAATATTAATAGTAAAATGTTAACTGAAAACATGTTTATAACTATTTATAAATTATTAGCATTTTTTATTAATATAAATAATAAATAAATAAAGATAAAATAAATAAAAATAAATATTTTACTTACATCACTGCTTAAACAATCTGATTCGGTTTGTTTTGAATAAGACATCATGTTTACTTGTAGATAATAAGTTAGTTCATTGTAAAATAAGTTTTGACTCAATGATACAAGTTTTAACACTGAATATTTTTATAAGCTTTTTGTAGTAATCAGTATTGCATTAATTATTTAACGACGAATAATAATTTATGTAAAAAGGAAAATGATCAGTCTACTTCTGATTAATACTAAATGCTCAACCCGTATTTATATAAAATTTCAATGACGTAAAAAACTGATGTAATTTTAATATTAATTTATTTTATTATCGATTTAACATTATTATGGTAAAAGAAGGAAAACAACTTATTGTTTTCGCGTAAAATCTTTTTAATAATTATACTAATTAATATCACATTATTTATATATAGACGACGAATAATACATTTTATAAAAAAGAAAATTATCAGTCTACTTCTGATCAATGCTAAATGCTCAACCCGTAAATATTATTATTAGGATATGATAATTCATTTTTAAATAGTTTGTTTACGAAAGTGAACTCACATACAGTCCTAGTATTCTAGGTATCGAATTGTATAACATGAACATATATGAAATAATTGATTACAGTCCTGATGTATGATCATCTCAACCCTACTTTTTTTACCATTATCATATTATTACTTTTTAGTAATTGTTAAATGTCTGTTAAGTTCTTTTTAGTATGTAACAGAAAGTATTCACGAGTAGAACCTAATAGTGTTTCAGAAAGAACTCTTATTAAAATACGTAATATTATTTATAATATCAGAAGGAACTTTTATTAAAATACGTAAGTTTTATTTTTTTATTTTTACCATTATCATATTATTACTTTTAAGTAATTTTTCAATATCTGTTAAATTCTTTTTAGTATATAACAGAACATATTCATGAGTAGAAGCTAATAGTATTTTAGTAAAAATAGTTGACGAAAACAAGGAAAATATCTTCAGAAAGAACTCTTATTAAAATACGTAAGTTTATTTATAATATCAGAAGGAATTCTTATCAAAATACGTAAGTTTTATTTTTTTATTTTTTATTCTTTTTATTTTTACCATTATCATATTATTACTTTTTAGTAATTTTTCAATATCTATTAAATTATTTTTAGTATATAACAGAACATATTCATGAGTAGAAGCTAATAGTATTTTAGTAAAAATTGTTGACGAAAATAAGGAAAATATCTTCAGAAAGAACTCTTATTAAAATACGTAAGTTTATTTATAATATATACATATATATATATATATATATATATATATATATATATATTATATAATTTATAATTTATTAACAATTAATTTTTGCATAAATCCATAGAAGTTTTTTAAAAAATCTAAATTATTAAAACCATATAAACTATTATTATTTTCTTTTAAATACAGAAAAAATATAACTTAAAAATAAATCATATTAAAATAACTAAAATAACTAAAAAAATAAATAATTTTTTTTTTTTTTTATATATAGTTAAAATGATGAGAAGAACGATTTCTAAGAAAACTCGAATGGGTGTAACTGGAGATGGGTTAATTGAATGTTTCTTTTGTACCAATTTATTTCCATAATTTAGCTTATGATAGTCATTTCATAATTAAAGAACTGGGTCGTAATGATAAAGATATTTATATAATACCAAATTCTTGTGAAAAATATATATCATTTAGTAAAACAGTTGCACCTAAGTTTAGTATTAAATTTATAGATACTTATCGTTTTATGTCAGAATCTTTATGTGATTTAGCAAAAAATTTATCTGAAGATAAAACAAGATTTAAACAAACTATGAAAATATTTTCTAAATCATCTTTAGATTTAGTTACTCGGAAAGGTGTTTTTTCCTTACGAATATATTTCTGATTTAAGTAAATTAAATGATACTTGTCTACCCTCGAGACAAGAATTTTATAATTCGTTAAAAGACGAAAATGTTAGTGATGAAGATTATTTACATGCGCAGAAGGTTTGGAAGGTATTTAATATAAACAATTTATTAGAGTACAGTAATTTATATTTAATGTGTGATGTTTGTATTCTTGTAGATGTGTTCGACAATTTTAGAGATCTTTGTTTACAAACCTTTAAATTAGATGCTTCTCATTTTATAACTGCACCAGGATTCGCATTCGAATGCATGTTGAAACATACAGAGGTTAAATTAGAACGTCTTAAATGTTATAATATGCAACTTATGTTAGAAGAAGGGATACGAGGAGGTATTTGTCAGTCGGTTAAAAGATATGTAAAGGCTAATATACCAAATATTGAAAATGTTGATTTTAATGAAAATAAACCGAATACGTGGATAGCTTATTTAGACTGTGTAAATCTTTATGGAAAGTCTATGCTTTCTGCACTACCCTATCAGAATTTTGAATGGTTTGAAAATTTAACATTAGATGTAACAAAAATTGACGATAATTCTGAGTATGGATATATTCTAGAGGTAGATACTGATTATTCTAAATCCTTACATAAAATACATAACGAATTCCCATTTTTACCTCATAATACTTATCCACCAAATTCTAAAGTGAAAAAACTTCTCACAACATTAACTCCGAAGAAAAATTATGTGGTTCATTATAGAAATTTGAAACAAGCTATTGCTAATGGTATAAATGTAACAAAAGTTCATAGAATAATCCGCTTTAAGCAGTCTAAATGGATGGCATCATATGTTGAACTTTGTACTAATATGAGAGCTAAATCTGAAAATGAATTTGAAAGACAGTTTTGGAAACTATTAGTTAATAGCGTTTTTGGAAAATGTATGGAAAATGTAAGGAAACGAATGTCAATTAAATTAGTTAGTAGTAAAGAGAAAGCACATAAATTAATGAGGAAACCTTTTTTTAAAGACAGAACGATATATTCAAAAGATTTAATGGCAGTTTACATGCATAAAGAAACATTTAAATTCGATAAACCGATTTATGTAGGGTTTGCTATATTAGATATTTCTAAAACAATTATTTATAATTTTCATTATAACGTAATGAAAAAAAAATATGAAAATAAATTAAATATTATTTATACAGATACTGATTCTCTTGTTTATGAAATAAAAACAGAAAATTTTTTTAAAGACATTAAAAACGATTTATTTTCATATTTCGACACATCAAATTTTCCTAAAAACCATTATTGTTATAGCGAAGATCGAAAAAATCAGCCCGGGTTCTTCAAAGATGAGTTAAAAGGCCGTATTATATTAGAATTTATTACATTACGACCAAAGCTCTATGCGTATAGTGTAGGTGATCAAGTAATTAAAAAAGCTAAAGGTACTAAAAAATACGTAATTGATAAACATTTAAAAATTGATGAATACATTGAAGTACTAAATGCACACATTCAACATAAATCGGTTGATAAAAAAATTGCATATCGTGATATGAATTATATTCAATCAAATAAACATATAGTTTTTTCAAAAACTACTAATAAATTAGTTTTAAATGCAGATGACGATAAAAGATACGTAATGAATGACGGTATTAACACTATGGCTTACGGTCATTATAAATTAAAATCTATATCTAAATATTAAAATACGTTTTTTTATAGCTATAATTAAAGCTTTAATTATATTAATTAATTGTTTAAATTTATAGGGATATGCCGCATAGACCTGTTGCCGTAGTTCGTCCTCGCATAAACAAGCCATTACACGTAAAATGTTCTCATATACGTTTAATGAATGTAAATGAGCTGTATGACCTACGAAAAATTATTGTTCGCGCTTTAGATGCGCAAAGATTTCATGGCGAATCTATTGTCAGTGATCAATATATGTCATGGGTTCGAGGTTTGTATCATGTCGATACTACACTAATTCGTCATCGCCTTCGTCTTGGCTTATCGTGGTGTTGACTTTTTGATTTTTTTTTTAATTTTTTGATTTTTTTTTTAGTTTTGTTTAAAGCTGCAAAGCTGTACTTACCTACAATATATATGTTATTAAATAAATAATATACTGTTTTATAATTTTATAATATTTGTTTTTAAACTGTAAATTATATTATATATTTATAATGTGTTATTATTTTATATATATTTATTATATTAAGAATTACTTGACCAATTTCAAGACATTAGATTATCTTTACCAAAAGATAGGGACCTACCTTATATCCCTACTTTGGACACGGTATATGACATTTTGAAACTATACTGAGATATTTAGTGCAAGATCCTTATAAATTGAATTTATAAGCAAAGTAAACTTGGAAAACAACTGTACTATTAGAACCAGTTGAAGAAAAACGAAAGTTTACTCAAACAAACCAAACCAAATCAAACCAAATCAATTCAATTCGAGTCAGAATAGAGAATAGTCAAGTTGAAATAATTATCTAGATAAACGGATATTTGTATTCAACACCATGAATCATGTGCCAAGTTACAACGTACACAATAATGCGCGCCGAGGAAGAGGAGAATGCTTTTCTTACTCTATGGCAGACCCAAGAGACGCCTACGCCTTGTTAGGTTAGGTTGTATTTATACAATAATGTATTTATATACTTTTATTTATGTTTTTTAATCTTAGATGGAAACAGGCTGAATGTTCAATTAAATTAATAACGTCTAACCTATGTGGATGTAAAGATGTTAATATTAATAAAAAAATGCATGTTATCGTGTAAGATATTCTCACACGTTTTACATCTGATCCAAAATCAAAATGTCTGTGATCAAAAATATTAACAAACAAAATTGAAAATTATATATGTTTCATGTACATTTCAATAATGGAATCTTGAATATTAAATATCACACATTAAAAAAAAAAAAATGAATTATTATTAAAGTCAGTTAAAAACTGTTTAAGTATTCAATATCCTCAGTATGTAAGTTTTACAAAACAGTTACAATCAGTCGATAAATTTCCAACTTATTTACCTGAAATATTACAATTATCTGAAGCAGGATTTTTCAGTAAAACTAGAGATTCAATTCAATGTTTCTATTGTACTTTAGTATTAAGTAATTGGCTTAATGAAGATTGATCTTTTCGTAAAAAGGAAAATTTTCAAGCAAATGTACTTTCTTATTATTAAGTAAAGGTACTAATTTTATAAACGATGTTACTAATAAATTTAAGTTTAAGAATTTAAAGTTTTAACTGTCGTAACATGCATAATCATTCTCCGTGTGATGAAGATGATAAATAAAAATATTATGTTCATTTTTTATATTATATAAATTTATCTCATTAAAATTATATTACATTATTTACAATTATCTCATTCTTTACCTGTTCCTCATGGCAAACTTATCCAAAGAAAAGAAAATATTCTTTTACCTTACCAGAGCTTCTTTGTCTTGATCAGCTATCTAGTGATACGAAGCTCGACCTTCATCGATATGCAGACTGTCCAGGATGGAGTCTGACAGTTTCGATATCCAGAGCCCTGACAGATGTAGGCAAATGCATGCCACAAGAACTTACAACCCTGGGACTTCCTATATGGTAACACCTTTAGAAGCTAATAGTACATTAAGAATCGACAGAACGGTGACAGGAGAAGTACACCCCGATGGTAAATGCACCAGGACTTTCTTCTCGGTTGCGAATAGGAGTTGGAAAGATGTTGTTGTTCAAGCTAAAATTTTGATAATAATGACAGATGGAATGATGGTAGGCTCAATAAAAGACAATAAGATGACCCATCCGTCAGGAGCAAGGTACGTCATGAAGGGGTCATAGTGACGCGGACCCGCGCGGCAGCCGTTATCGAAACGTCTGCCGCCGACCGCGCTTGTGTCTCTCTCGTCAACCACCAGACCGCGGAACGCGGCGCCGCCGCGACACCCATCCTCCCACCATCCATCGATGAACAGGGGACGCGAACGGTCGCGACGACGCCCGCACGGAATACGACCCAACCGATCCGGTCGGGTTGTTCTTAGAACACCGTACTCCTGAACGGACCTATACGCCGACATTTTTTCTTACGTCTTTTACTCTCTGTAAATTACACTCAACTTTGTTTTATTCTTTGATACCTAGTTTTTTTTTTTTTTGACGCTTTGTTAATTTCGGCGCGTCCTGTACCGCCGCCCCTTTGTTACTTCACCTCCGATTGTTATTTTGTTAGTGTTGTGCAAGTAATATAAGGCCACCGGCCAGTACCGCCTTCACCGTTGTTTTTTTTTTTGTATTACGATTCACTATCTTCTACACCGTGTGTCGTGCCGTACATCAACGGACCACGATAATAGTCTGGGATGCGAACAGACTCACCGAATGTGAGAGTGGAAAGTATGACGTGTTATACAGCGGTCCTATGAGTCGTGTAACATACAACAACCCTGTCTCTAGTAGCTATGAAAGGGAGGTTAATATTGTGAAGAACGAAGACAGCTTGTTTGCTCTCAAGGTTGACTAGGTAACGACAACCTGTGGGTACCCGGCACTAAGGACTGAACATCCAAGATTATATATTGTCGTTGACAATTATTCTATAACCCGGTTCACTCGGACGCATATAGACCCCGTCAACATGGACATGACAGCCTACATCAATAACAAGCTAATGTATATGGATATCAGTGGAAGGGCAAACATGGAGGCGCTATACAGAAATCTCCTGACGCAACAGTGCGAGTTGGAACGAGAACAGATCAAAACAAAGTTGGGGCTGGCAAGTATTGATCTTCAAGAGTTCGCTTATACAAGGTGGTGCAGAGGAAACGCATGTTTTTCGAACCGCTAGTACGCGGCGACGGGAGGGGGTATTGACCTTGAATGAATGTTAGCAGACAGCCCATGCAATGCCGTTTCAGTCGCCATGGAGCGTTGGAGCGTACAACATCGTGTGTTCATTGTAGAGCAGTTTTTAAGAAACAATGATTCTGTAATCACAGTGCAACGTATTTTTCGTCAATATTTTAGAGTTGGACGTCATGGTGCAGTGCCTGATCGAAATACCGTACTCCGATGGGTTGCAGCGTTTAGAAGTACTGGTTCTGTGATGAAAAAGAAACCACCTGGTCTTCCCCGTTCAGTTCGTACACCGGAAAATGTAGACCGAGTCAGAACGGCAATGGTTGCTAGTCCTAGACGATCGACTAGACGACATGCAGTAGCGATGGGTATGTCACGTCGTTCGCTTCACCGCATTTTACATGATGACCTCAAGTTCCATCCGTACAAAATAATGATCGTCCAGCAGCTTAATGAAGGGGATTTTGTCCAGCGCAGAGAGTTTTGTCGCATAATGGATGAAACGTTTACGGAAGATCCCGATGCTACAGTCTTCATGAGTGATGAAGCACATTTTCATCTGGACGGTTACGCCAATGTTCAAAACTGTCGGTATTGGGCATCTGAGGACCCACAACAGTTACACCAAAGACCTCTGCACAGTTTAAAGGTAACAGTGTGGTGCTGCATTTCAAAGTTGGGGATTGTTGGACTCTATTTTTTTGAAGAAGAAGGAATTGCAGTTACTGTTACATCAGCTCACTACGTTGAAATGTTAAACAACTTCCTTCGTCCAGAACTTGAAAGGCGTCAAGTGAACATGAGAGACATTTGGTTTCAGCAGGATGGTGCCACAGCTCACACGGCGAGAGCATCCATGGCAGTAGTTTTACAAATGTTTCCAGGACATGTGATTTCGAGATTTGGCGATGTTCACTGGCCCCCTCGATCACCCGACCTGTCGATATGTGACTTCTTTTTGTGGGGATATTTAAAATCAAAAGTGTACATCAACAAGCATCGCACACTCGAAGACCTTAAGAATTCCATTCGTCAGGAAATTGAAGCCGTGCCGAATGAAATGTTGGAGAGAGCCGTTCGTAATTTTCAGAAGAGGATCCACATTTGTATCCAGCAAGAAGGACGTCATTTCAAAGACATTATTTTCCAAACCTAAACATGCTATGTAATTTCAAAAACGGCATAAACGTTTATTTATTGACCCAGAAGTGAAAGCAACTTTTTTGCAGTA